CGCCACGCCCGCCGCCGCGCCCGCCGCCGCGCCCGCCGCCACGCCTGCCGCCACGCCCGCCGCTGCGGCACCCGCGGTCGGTGTCGATGGCGCCGAGGGAGCTGGCGCGGGGGCCGCTGCGGCAGAGGCCACTAACCGCGCCTCTGCTGCGGGCGCAGCTGCTGGGCAGCTGCTGGAGTCGATCTCATCACCATCCCCCAGCCCAGGCCCGGCCGTTGCCGGGCGCACGCCGTCCATCCCGGAAGGGATTCCACTGCATGGCATGCCCGGTGAGCCGGGCTCCAGCACGGCCGTCGCCTGCGGTGCCCCAGGCGTGACCGCGGCGGCGGCAGCGCAGGGGCCCGGTGGGGCGGAGGCGGCGAGCCAGGCGAGGCTGCGGGAAGAGGACGCGGCGTCGCTCTCGGCCTTCAGGAAAATGCTCGTAGCGCTGCTGGCGCTGGTGGCGCTGTGGGCGGCGTCGTGTACGATTTTCTGGGGCTGCTTCGCGCTCCTGTACGCCGAAGACCAGTGCAAGAAGGCTCCCTAATGGGTGTGGTTCGCGTGCCGTCACACGAGTAGTAAGCAGCCAGGCACACACTCACTGCGTTGCAAGATGGTCATGGGCTGCAGGCATCGCATGTGGTAGCGCAAGTGTAATGCCATCCAAGGTTGTTCTTGTGTTTGATGCCACGATGGCATGCACAGCGCAACCTGCGCAGCGACACGGCAACCGGCACGACTAAACACGCGTCCTGCAACATGCCAGTTGCTGAGCTTCCGTGCAGCGCTGCACAAGAGGAGCCAATATTAGTCCTGGACAACCTCGAGAATGCGCGTCACTGCCACGCCGCCTACGCTATGCGGGGGAGGGAGGTCATGACTGATCACTGAAAGCGGCGTGGTCGGGGGGAGCACAGTTGCTTGTGCAGCCTTCAATGCATCCATGCGCTCTCGCATAGTCGTTTGAAAGGATAACAAGACCGCGTGATCGCCCACAAGCCCCGCCATGGAAGCGTTCAGCGGGTGAATGGCGCAAATGGCGATCACGGGGATGTCCGCGCGCCCCACCCTGATCAAGGCGCGGGGGCCCTTCAACTCTTCAAAGACGTTAATTTGCCATTATCATGCCCACAGCGCGGCCATATGGCCCTCTGGAAGACGCCCCCGTCTGGTCAGCGGCGCCAATCGCCGCGGCCACGCCGACGAGGCCGACTCGAGCATCGCCCCGCCGGCCGGGAGCGAAGCTGTTGCGAAGGCGCTTATCATCTGCGCTGCAGGCGTGGCAATGGTGGGCCCCCCTTGCGGCGGCTGCACCCGGCAGTTGAGATCGCTTCGTTCCACCCGCCAATGTTGGCACTGGGGCATCGCCGGCCATTCACCCGCATGGATGCGTTCGCGTGCAGCAGTGGCCATCGGGGTGCCGCAGGCCGCCGCGCACTGCATTTTCCTGCCTTGACAACCAGCTGTGGCACCTACTCCCCCGCAACCGCCGCCCGCGCTGCCCGTTTTGCCGCCAGGCGGGCTCGGCCCTGGTGCTGCCCCGCGCCGCCGGCGCGCGGCGGCTGGCACCGCCGCCGGCAGATGCCGCCGAGAAGTCCGATGACGGCCGATCGGGCAGGTGGGTGGGCATGAGTCACGCTTGGGGCGTGGGACGGGGCCGCGGCCGCTCTCCGGCTGCTCTGGGGCACACTTCTGCGTATGTATACAGCCGCGCTCCACCCAGTGAAGCAGCCGGTGCCGCGGCGGCAGCGATCACATACACCTGCACCTGTCGGCTGCTCCCTGGAATGTTCACATGTCATCCAGTTGACTTGGTTTTATCTGACGATCAAAAGCTTATATAACCTCATCCATTCGGCCCCCCTGGCGGCCGTCCACCTGGCTCCCCACGCCGCTCCCGGCCCGGTTCCGCGTTCGCAGCGGCGCCCCGCCCGCGGGCCGGCTCGCGCAGCGTGGCGGCGGCGGCGGCGGCGGCGGCGGGGGCGGGGCGGCGGCCCTGGGGCGCGCGCTGTTGGGCGCCGCAAAGCTGCCTGGCAGAGCATTGGTGAGTATGTTGGATGCCTGAGCCGCTGACATTGTTAGATTGTACTCGCGGCTTGATGCAACAGGCGCCTGAAGCTGCGCGGACCAGTCCACCAGCAGCGCAGCCGGGTCCATGGGCCAGCCCATGCACTGTGCGTGCCCTCCAACCCACGCGGGGGGTCTCCTCGTTACATGCCGGCTGCCCGTCCCTCTGCCGCCCTCCTTCGCCCCCCAACCCCTCCCCCAACAGGACGCTGCGCTGTTCCCTGATGTGGACGTTTTCAGGTGGGTGGCGCGGGCGCGGGCGCCCAGGCGCCCTCGCCGGCAGCCGCCGGCAGGGTGAACTATGATGCAGCTTGCTTTGCCTTGCTTCACGGCGCCTGGGCATGTGGACGGCTGGCCGTCCGCTTTACTGTTGCCACGAACTATGTTTTACAATGCACACCGCCAAAAACGCTTGCCTAATCTGAAACCAACTCACGCAACCCCAGGCCGGCCGGCACCGGGGCCGCGACGGCCCAGCCGGCTGGCACCGGAGGCGTGGCTGCCGAGGGCCCCGCGGCCGCCCAGCAGGGCGCCAGGCGCAATGCTAAGACCCAACGCGGCAAGCCCCGCGCCGCGCGGCGGGCCGCCGCCGCCGCCGCGGCTACGCCCGCCGCCGCCGCGCCCTTGGCCGGTATCGACGGCGGCGAGGGCGCCGGAGCGGGGGCCGCTTCGGTGGAGGCCTTGGACCACGCCTCTGGCGCGGGCGCAGCTGCCGGGCAGCTTCTCGAGCCGATCTCATCACACTCCCCCAGCGTTGGCCCGGCCGTCGCCGAGCGCACGCCGAGCAACTCGGAAAGGATCCCACTGCCAGGCCTCCCCGCCGAGCCCGCCTTCAGCGCGGCCGTCGCCGGCGGCGCCCCGGGCGCGACCGCGGCGGCGGCGGCACGGGGGCCTGCTCGGGCCAAGGGTGCAAGAAAGGCGACCCGGGATGAGGAGATCCCAGGGTTGCCCTCGTACGTAGAGAAGGGGAGCACGGCACTGGTGGTGCTGGCGGCGGCGACGGAGGCGCTTTTCCTGTGCTGCTTGGCGGGCGTGTGCGATGAATGGCGAAAGAGGAGGGCTCTCGCAGGTCGGGCTTTGCTTTTTTGGAGTGGTTAAGGGCGGGTCGGGAGCGCCGAGGGGGGCGTCTTGGTTAGTCACTGTCTTCAAATCTTTGGGAAGCTTCCTGTTGTTTGCTCACCTCCTAACCAACGGCCGCCCCCGCGCCCGCGGCCGCCCACCATCGCCCAACCTCTCCCCCCCCCACACACCCACGCACTTTTCCTGCCTGTTCATCCCTTCACCCTGCCCTTGCCCCATTCTGTTGCCCACTCCCCATTCCCATCTCATTTTCTTTGCACCACCACTGCACACCCAGGCAAGACGCAGGCGCCCACCACGCCAGCCCCATGCGCCAACCCCAGCATGGACGTTACCCACACCGCCCAAACCCCCACGGCGCCTCGCCGTGACGGCTCTGCCGCACGCGCCGCCAACGAGCCGGACGCCGCCGAGGCCGCCGCCGCCGCGGCGCGGGAGCCGGCCAAGCAGCCGCGCATCGGCTGTGATGCCCCGCCGCTGCTGCTGACGTGGCCGGGCGGCGACGCCGATGGCGGCGGCGGCGGCGGCGACGGCGAGGATGGAGGCCGCGGCGGCATCGCCGCTGCGCTGTCTACGCTCGTAGCGGCCGCCGGCGCAGCTCGTGCTGCAGGCGCCGGCGAGGGGGACACCTGCGGGCCCGCCGCGGCAGCGGCCGCCACTCACGCGCGACTGCAGGAGCCGTGCCGGCTGCTGGGCGCGTCGCTCGGCGCTGAGGCCGCCCGCGCCGTTGCCGGCGCCGGCGGCGCCGGCGGCGCGCTCCGCACGGTGTGGCGCGAGGCGCTCGCGACGCTTGGGCCGGGCGCCGCGGCGCCGTTCATGCCCGCAACGCTCGACGCCGCGCTTGCTGCTTGTGGCGGTCCGGGCTCGGATGGCGGGGAACTTCTGCTGATGTCATTTGTGGGTGCTGTTTCAGACGAGGTCGAGGCGGCCCGCGCCGGCGCCGCGCTCGAGGCTCGCGGCTGGGGACCTGCCGACGCCTCCGCCGCCGCCGCGCGGC